GCCGTCCTCTGTCCGGTTTAACTAGGTGTGTGAAGTAAACAGCTTAGAGCGTGGCCTGAGCTTCCCGTTGGTTTTCAAGTACTCCACCGTACTCATAACTACGAGAAAAAGTTTAGTTTCAGGTAGTCCCAATAACACTAGGAATTCTGTTTTAGGACTGTCAGGTCTTCCCCCCCCCGCCCCCCCGCATCTGTTCTTTCTCTTAACTGGCACACAAAACTCTTCCTCGTTTTTTGTTTTGGTTTGGTTTTCTTTTTTCCCCTGAGAATTTTTAGCCTAAAGGGCAATGAGCTGGAATATTCTTGTTCTTTTAATCAGTTTCAAAAAGTACTTTTAAGGACATTACATTTTACAAATTATTAGTTGAACCCTCACATCGCTTCCACGTATTGATGGATTTTAATGAAATATTTAAAGAAAAATGAGTTCAGAATTCCTTGCAGGAAAATCTGAAGCAATTGTAGTGAAGTTATTTTGAATTTGACTATTAACTGTGCTTTTCTAGTCACTAACACCTATTGGAAGCCGATTTAATTAATCTGTGGCTAGTTCTCCACATTACATTTCGTGGTAAATTAGAGTTCTTTCTTTGGCTTTGAGTTACAATTCCCACGCATTCTTGCAATTCTGCATCACTTGACATACAAGCATAACAGAAGAATGTTTGCATTTTAAAAAGTAAAACCAATACCTGTGTGCACAGTTTTGGAAATGTGTGTATTGTTGCATCTTGGCATTAATTTAGTTAAGTTTGCTAATTGTTATGCAGAAAGTTATTTGCTGCTTATATATGCCTTTTCACTTGCTCATTTAATAATTTAAAAAAGTGGGTAACCAGTGTTCTCATTTTACACAGGCAGAAGTTACACATATGACTTGTACAAGGTCAAAAAACAGTGTTTGAATTAAGTCTCAAAACTTATGGTGTCAAGTCCTGGATTCTGTACTGCAGTTCCTCATGAAGCAAAATAATGTGAAATGATCCAGATATGTGGGTCAGTGAAATTTGTTGAAGTTGCTGCTGCCAGACTGTATTTTTAATTTTTGCAGCAAATGCATTTTAACCCTTTTTCTGTCCTTATCTTGATCCCTTCTTCCTCATATACTTTTTTTGTCTATTTTTACCAGTTCGTTCTTGGATTTCTTTTGTAAAATTTTTCCATTAGTTCTTTTGTCTTCTTCTTGAATAATTTTGTAAATAAGCCTGATCAGGTAGTCTTGCACTAAGACTTCTGTGAGCACTGTGCATGTCTTTAGTAGGAGCTTCTTCTATGTGAAAAGAATCAAGAATTTATTTTTTTCCTGTAAACTTTTACTGTTTCCTTTGCTGTTAAAATACAGCCTTTGAACCTATATTGAATGCTCTTGGATATTCAGAAATCTGTAGTTAAGTAACTCTAGAGGCCCAAGTTCAGACTAGTGCAATGGTGATAATTTAAACCTTTGCAGTTTACCTGTTTAATGCACCTTGATCTAATTTGTGTAGGTTGGTTTTTGTGAACAGCAGCAATGATAATAGATGCCCCCTGGAAAGCTAGATTCCAGCTTAATAGTGATGTTTTCTGTTGAATTTAGTAATAAAGCTTCAGCCATGATTTAGTTTTGGGTAATACACTGGTGGTCTTCAGGGTATTGTTAATAGGAGAAATTTAGTGAACTTAGTAAGAACTAAGAGCTTTGAACTTATGTTTTTAAACACAGTTTTGCACTGATTTGTAATAGGAAGTTGGGCGGTTAGGGTTTTTTTCTCTCTTTTAATAAACTGATTACTTTGCTTTTGTATACAAAGAATTATCTAGGCTACATAACTGCTTTAGGGATGGTGGTTGGCCATCGTACTAACCAAATCTGAAAAGAACAGCGGTTGGGGTAATCCATTCTCATTCTTAATTTACCTAGCATGTCTAATCACCACAGCACTTAAGCTGTATTCCTTTTGCAGTCAGAGTATCACTGCTGAAGGCATTTCAAGGCATTGTCCTTTACTGTCTTGGTATTGTTTGATTGAACTTATTTTCTGATAAACATTTTGAACATTTTTTTCCTAGTGTTGGCTGGTACTTGGAGAATTTTATGAGGGACCACTGTATTTGCCCTCATTTATAAATAAGATTTCAAGTGCAGTTACTTAATTAAGATTACCAGCACTTGTGAAGGCAAGAATATTGGCGTGTTAGTAAAGAGGGCAGGAAATATTAAGTGGCTGGGACCTCAACGGATTTTGGTGAATTTAAATTCTTGATGACATTGGTATACTCTGTATTTGGTTTAGTTTCTAAAAAGTATTTTGATTTGAAGATTTCTTATGCTTAAGTGAAAAGGATACCTCTTGGTAAATATTGAATGAGAAGTAACAACATTACCTTAAGCTACTTCAACACTGGTTTTTTTTGTTTTTTTTTTTTAAACTGTTCTTGAAGTGAAAATGGTTGAATTGTTATTCTGGTATGTTTTGGGTAGAGCTGTAATTACTGATATGCTGATAGGTCTTGGAATTTGGATACCATATACTAAATACTTTTCCAATGCCAAGTTTTGGTTTGCAAAAAGTGTGAAGTGAGGGATGACTTAGTATAAAAACTTACTGTCAGCAGTAACCTGAATCCAGAGCCACAATTTCCCTGGAATCCTGGTTTTTGTATTTGAAAGTATTTGAAAGTGCTGTGCATTCGAAAGTCATTCCTAAAAACGATTTCAGTGATAGCTGATGTGTTTGAATTTACTTTGTGATCCACTGTAAGAGGTCACAGTGACTTTCTGTTGGTGTATTCTTATACCCTGCAAAACAGACTAGACTGTGATGGCCTTTTTTTTTGGTGTGTGCTTTTCCTCGCTGGGCCAGCTAATTTACAAACACTATCACAAGACTATGGTAATTGAAACTGACCCTGAAAACTACTGGTCTGTAAACTTGTATCTAAACAACATTACAGAGTGAGTAAAGGACTGCGGGAAAACACTTACTTTCTCTGGCATTGTTTGCAGCTGCTTAAATCGGTGTTGGTCATGGGCAATTCTGTAGAGTCTTTCAGGTAACATTTCTGCTTCAGCCATGTTTCTGCAGATGGTAAACATTTTTAGGATCAGAAAGCAATTTCAGAAGGTATTCAGAAATACTCAAGAGTATTTATCTGTAAGTGATTTTCTTGGCTATGGACCCATCTACAATTCCTGTGCAGCAACAATTGCTAAATAATGATAGGTGATTAACTATTGTAGTATTTATTAGTTGCTAATAGAATGGCATTCTATGCTAATGTTTGGAAGTCAGCTCAGTAGACTTTGGGAGACATGAATTTGAAAATAGGGCTTTCTCTGGCCTCTTAATGCTTCTGGGTGATCTTGTGGGGGCCTGTCTTTGAGCTTTCTCTTGGGGCAGTGTGCATTGCAAAATGGCTGGTGTCCCCCTCCCCCAAGCCCCAGATGCTTTCTTGCAGGCAGAGACACTTTCAGTCGCTGCTCTGCCCCATTCTCCTCTTCACAGTCCCACAGTCTGTTTCCTCATGTGCAGTGATCTGCTTTGCTCACCTAGCCATGGACATAGAGGAGTAAGTGCTACTACTAGGATGTAAGGGCAGGGAGTGTGACTTACCTCCTGTCTTCTCTTTCAAGTGATAGACTTCAGTTTTGCAGCTAGGCCAGGCTTAGTGCAGGACTGATAGCCAGCTGCCTAAAGATTTTGGTGTCATTTGGTACACAAGTTGAGAATTGCAGTATTATTGTAGTATTGGTATATTGGTTATCACTGTTGCTGAACGCCTTTTGTCCAAAAGAGAGTTTACTAAACTTAGACTTTTTCAATTAGCAATTACACTTTGGGAATAATACAGCTAAGAATACAATTGTAAGTGACAGAATGAGGAAAAAACGCGGCTATACCTTCTTGATATTATGTTTAGCACATACACAGCATGGTGCTGCATCTTGCTTAAAACCGACACCTTTCCTTAATTAGAAGTGGCTTACGTCATGGTCCAGTGCAAGGGCCTCAAGTTCTTTCCTTTTCTGCATCTTAATGTATGCATCACTGGACTGGCATTCACAGTATGGGTTTTGTGTGGATGCAAACTGAAGAAGTTCCCTGGAAGGGAGTTCCACTTTGGTTACTTTGTAGCAGCATTCCTGCAGTAAAATCAACAATTATCAAGATTATGGTAATAGTTTGTATCCTAAATTAAGAATTCACAATCTTCAAATATAATTATGCATTCAATTTCTGATTTGTCACAGTCTGTGAGGCCTTTTCATTTAGAAATGCTGTACTACAGGTAAAAGGGTTTTGAGGTAGATTGTACCTTTTTCTAGTGATAAAATGTATATATGTGTATTTAGACATACATTAATTTTGTATGTTTTGTACTTACTGAACTATACCAACCTCATCTTACAAAGTAACTTCTAGATATTTTAGAATTCCAAATTTTTTACAAGTGATGCGTGATTTTTATATCTTGCATTTTGTGTGTTGTCTGAGATACTATGTTATTTTTTTTTTTAGAAGAGGCTTCTGTAACCTAGGTATTGTTAAAATACCGATTTGAACTTATGAAATCACAGTGACTTAAGAAGAATCGTGCCCTCTCTGTCCCAAGTATTAATAGCTGCGCTTACAGGATTTAAACCCTCTTAAGTTTAGAGGAAGACCAGCTTGAGCTCTGAGTTCTGTTTATGGGTTTAAAATGAGGAAAAGAATCCTCATGCGTAGGTGAAGTGTTGTACATTCTCTGACTGCCATTTTTCCTTTCATAATTTTGAAGTTATTAACAAATCTTTTTGTTTTCAGATCCCTCAGGGAAGGACTTACTGAAGGACACTGTTTAAATGTGTGACACTGCAGGAAGATCACACAGCAGGATAATCATCTTGCTTTGCACCTTGTTTTTCTAAGGGTAAGTCTGGGCTTTAGGTCTTCTTAATCTTGTGTTTAGTGTGGGAGGTGGGTGAATAAATACAAGATGATACACCTTATTTTCTTTATAACTACATTTAGAAATCTAAAAGCCTGTAGAGACAAGGTGCTATGGTGTGACTGTGGAAAGTCAGAGATTCTTCCTGCAGTGATGTCATATACTTTGTGTCTTCTGTAGTTCTTCAGAATTTTTCTATTTAAACATAAACCCACTGTTATTTTCAGTTTGCAGACTGAAATTAATTGGGGAAATCAAGCAACCCCTCCTTTGAGTTGGTAACAAAGATGAAGGGGGTGGGGGGTGATGAATTGAAGTATTTTCAATTTGTTATAACATAATTAGGCAGATTGAAGTAAGATAATTGAACTAACTTAGCATGAATTTCCAGTGTGTATATTTTAAAACTGTACAAAACAATAAAGTAGATTTCTTTTCAGGATACCACTAATATAAAAATCTTCCATTTGGGGAACAATTTAATAATGATCACATATTGAATGTGAAGCCATTCTAATGTCAGGTTTTTAACAGGTTTATTACTTAATTAACATAGATTTCATTCTGTAATTTTGCTTTGTACAATCAGTGCGAAGTAGAAACTGAGAAATGAAAAGGAAACCACACTGGTTTTAATTATCTTTAGTGATTCAACTCCCACTATGGTGAAAATCTTCCATGTCAGAAATTTTGTGAGAGACTAATGTGTTTGTTTTCCCTTTGTCAGTGTCCCATTTCACCATAGTCTTTGTACTTACTCACTTAAAAATGTATCGATTTGACAAAACACTTACTGCTGGAGGAGGAAGAACCTTTGCTACATGAGGATGTAGGGTATCTGAAAGTATTGATTGTTTCTTATAAACTAGTTGCAAATTGACAACGTCTTCCTGATTAAATGAAATAATCCTGTGGATGAAGACTCTTGTGTTCTAGTTTAGTCCATGTCAAATCTGTATTGTGCTGTGGCAAACAGAAAACATTTTATAATGGAAGTGCTGACTAAACTTGTCATTCTTATAGTTTGAATGATGCTACTATGAGAAGCTTTGCTTTAGAAAGAAAACACTGGGTTTATTTGTAGTAATGTAAATCCTTCACAAGCAGCGTTTATATTTGCTAAGTATTTTTATTCCCAGATACATTTTCTGTTAGCTCTAAATTCTTTGTTTTAAGAATATAAAGAACACAGTGGAGTAAAAAGCAAAATTTAAAATACAAGTTTTCTTTCTGAATGTGTCTTTGAGTAAACTGATTTAAACAAAAAAAAAAAAAATCATTCTAAAATACAACAGAAACAGTTCAGTTCTTGCAATAAAAAACTCTCGAGTAAAAAATAGACCAAGTTTGCTTTCCTCTTCATTTTGGAAAGAAATGGCTACTATTTAATATAAAAGATACTTTCCTTGACTATGATTTCTATAACTGAAAGCTGATTTTACATATGTGTGTTTTGTTTTATATTTTGGTCAATTTCATTACAAATATTGTTACATAAATGATGTGTTTCTGATCAGAATGTCAGTTTCCATTTTTAAGTGTTATTAAGTTGGAAAGCTCTGTTGGCCCAGCATTGATTCTGTACAAGATATTAAAGGTTTTGATGTATCTTCTATTGTAACTTCTAGTGATACAGATACTTCTTTTAGTGCTGCATTTCTCCAAACTTGGATATATTTTAATGGTCATAATTAGTTTTATAAGTATTAAAGCAGATTTTGAGAGACAGATCCTACATGTTTGGGGTTTTTTAAAACTAAGGGAAGATACTACAGTACCATTCTCAACAAACTATTGCTAAGAGTAACAAAATACATAACAAAGCTGAGATATTGAGACTAAAATTTCAGTATCAATGCTCATACTTTTTCCTTTGTATAAGGGCTGTTTACAGGGTTTTTTATGTACATTTATGTTATTTTTTACTCCAAATACCTTAAGTATAGCGGTCTGTACGTTTCATTTATAGTGCCATGTGATAGCTGTCTTTTTACCAAGAAAATGAAAAAAATATTTTTAGCAAAATATTCTGACAAAATTATAGAACAGTGTAGGTTGGAAAGGACTTCTGGAGGTCATCATGTCCAGCCTCCCTGCTCAAGCAAGATCACCTACAGCAGATTGCCCAGGACCATGTCCAGGTGGCTTTTGAATATCTCCAGTGAGGGAGCCTTTACAGCCTCTCTGGGCAACCTGTGCCAGCTCTCAGTCACCCTCACAATGAAAAAGTGTTTCTTAATGTTCATCTGGCACCTCCAGTGTTTCAGTCTGTGCTTGTTGCCTCTTGCCATCACTGGATTCCACCAGAAAGAGTCTGGCTCTGCCTTCTTTGCACCTTTCCTTCAAATACTTGTATGCCAATATTGATGAGATCCCCCCCCCTTGACCCTTCTCTTCTACAGACTAAACAGTTCCAGCTCTCCCAGCCTTTCCTTACATGAGATGCCTTAGTCCCTTAATCAGCTTAGTGGTTCTTTGCTGGACTCTCTCCATCTCTGTATCTCTCTTGTACTGCAGAGCTGGACACAGTGCATCAGGTATGGCCTCACCAGTGCTGCGTAGAGGGGAAGGGTCACCTACCTTGACCTGCTGGAAATGCTTTGTCTAATGCTGCCCAGAGTACTGTTAGCCTTGCTTGCCACAAGTGCATGTTGCTGGCCTGTGTTCAGCTTGTTGTCCACTGGGATCCACAGGTCCTTTTCTGTAAAGCTGCTTTCCAGCCAGTTGGCTTCCAGTGCGTACTGGAACATAGGCTTTTTTCTCTCTAGATGCAGGACTTTGCAGTGCACAAGGTTCCTGTTGACTGGTGTCTACAGCCTATTGAGGTCTCCCTGAATAGCAGCACAACCCTCTGGTGGCCACTTTTCTCAGTTTTGTTATCAGCACACTTGCTGAGGGTACATTCTGCCCCACTATCCAAGTCATTACTGAAGATGTTGAACAGTATTGGCCCCTGGAGTATACCGCTAGTTACTGGCCCCCAGTTAGATTTCACACCACTAGTCACAACCTGCTCAAGCCAGTCATTCAGCCATTCAGTTTTTTATGTTTTCCTCATAATGTAATTGTTTCTAAACCAGTAAATATCTTTCCATGTGCAGCATGTATGTAAACAAAGTCTTCTGATTAACAACTGACAATTAGTGGTTATCGTTATACTTGACAACACCTTCAGTAAAGCCGCTGGGACCTTGTAACAATTCCGTGGAAGTCTGAGTGTAGATATAGTAGTTTTTGTTTACAGTTATTAAAAGTTTGTTGCTGCTAGAGATGGAAGGAATGATACTATATTGTAATCTTAAAATCTCAGACATAAGTCTTATTTTTCTGTACTTAGTATCTGTATGACAACATTTATATTTTTTGTGTAGAATTCAGGTTATCAACTTCTCCTTAAAAGCAGTTTACTGTTAGTATACAAATAAAACAGTTTACTTCTGCAGATAGGTAGTGGCTGAGCCACATTGCCAGCTTCTTGTTCTGAAAGTTTCTTTACTGAAACCTAAAACCAAACCTACAAATGCACACAAAAGTGTTGTTGTTCACGCAGGTAAGAATGCTACCTAGTGGAAGTATGAGCATGAATAGAAGTATGTGTATGTGAATACTGGGTTGGGGCTAGAGTTTTTGTGTTGTATTTACTGTTGTAGAAAATGCTTTCTAGTGCCTAGTACGCATAAGGTATGAAGGAAAACAATAATTTGGGGATTTGGGTGTGGTGGTTGGTATTTTGGTGTTTTTTTTTTTTTTAAAGTATGTCGATCAAAATAGGTGTTGAACTATTATTAAACTGTGCCTAAAAACTTTATTTTAAAATTTATAATATATATATATATATACAGCATTAACATGAATGAATTATGAGGTTTTGATCTCATTTAAAGTAGTTTTAAAATTTTCATATACATGGAAAACCATTTCAGGTTGAACCAGCAAATGTACTTTTAAAAATCTCTTTTCTCTCATGAATATTAGAAATACCTGTAATCTTTAATTTTTTTAATTTCCTCTTTGTTTATTTTAGGAAGATGATCCTACTTATCCTGGTTATCTGATGTTCTCTCAATGACAAGCTGAAGCAGGAACAACTGAAAGCTATTTCTGGAACTCTGGATATACAACTTAAATTTGTAGGAACCTTTCCAGAATGAAAACCGCATACTGTTACCTTGATAATTGCAAAAGAATGAGAGAAAAGTTATGATGGCAAAAAACAAAGAGCCACGTCCCCCATCTTATGCTGTTAGTGTTGTTGGACTGTCTGGAACTGAAAAGGATAAAGGTAATTGTGGAGTTGGAAAGTCGTGTTTGTGCAATAGATTCGTTCGTTCAAAAGCAGATGAATATTATCCTGAGCATACCTCTGTGCTTAGCACAATTGACTTTGGAGGAAGAGTTGTTAACAATGATCACTTTTTGTACTGGGGTGACGTAACACAAAGTGGTGAGGATGGAATTGAGTGCAGAATTCATGTAATTGAACAGACTGAGTTCATTGATGATCAGACTTTCTTGCCTCATCGGAGTACGAATTTACAACCGTATATAAAACGTGCAGCTGCCTCCAAACTGCAGTCAGCAGAAAAACTAATGTACATTTGCACAGATCAGCTAGGCTTGGAGCAAGACTTTGAGCAAAAACAAATGCCTGAAGGGAAATTAAGCATAGATGGGTTTTTATTGTGCATTGATGTAAGCCAAGGATGCAATAGGAAGTTTGATGATCAACTTAAATTTGTGAATAATCTCTATATCCAGCTCTCAAAATCTAAAAAACCCATAATAATAGCAGCAACAAAATGTGATGAATGTGTGGATCATTATCTGCGAGAAGTTCAGGCTTTTGCTTCAAATAAGAAGAACCTTGTGGTAGTGGAAACATCGGCAAGATTCAATGTCAACGTCGAAACATGTTTTACTGCACTGGTACAGATGATGGATAAAACTCGTGGTAAACCTAAAATAATCCCCTATCTGGATGCCTATAAAACTCAAAGACAATTAGTTGTTACAGCAACAGATAAGTTTGAAAAACTTGTCCAAACTGTGAGAGACTATCATGCGACTTGGAAAACTGTTAGTAATAAACTGAAAAACCACCCTGATTATGAAGAATACATAAATTTGGAAGGAACAAAAAAGGCCAAAAATACGTTTTCAAAACACATAGAGCAGCTTAAACAGGAACACATTAGAAAAAGAAAAGAAGAATACATTAATGCATTGCCAAGAGCTCTTAATACTCTTCTGTCAAATCTTGATGAGATTGAACACTTGAGCTGGTCAGAAGCCTTGAAGTTAATGGAGAAAAGGCCTGATTTCCAGTCCTGTTTTGTAGTGCTTGAAAAAACACCCTGGGATGAAACTGACCATATAGATAAAGTGAACGACAGAAGGATTCCATTTGACCTTCTGACTACACTAGAGGCAGAAAAAGTTTATCAAAACCATGTGCAGCATCTTATATCTGAAAAAAGGAGGGTTGAAATGAAGGAGAAATTCAAAAAAACGCTTGAGAAAATCCAGTTCATTTCACCTGGGCAGCCATGGGAAGAAGTTATATGTTTTGTGGTGGAGGATGAAGCATTCAAATACATCACTGATGCAGATAGCAAGGAAGTGTATGGTAGGCATCAGAGGGAGATTGTTGAAAAAGCCAAAGAGGAATTTCAGGAAATGCTTTTTGAACATTCAGAATTGTTTTATGACCTGGATCTTAATGCAACGCCAAGTTCAGATAAAATGAGTGAAATTCATGCAGTTCTGAGTGAAGAACCTAGATACAAAGCTTTACAGAAACTTGCACCTGATAGAGAATCTCTTCTGCTTAAACACATAGGATTTGTTTATCACCCAACTAAAGAAACTTGTCTTAGTGGCCAAAACTGCACGGACATTAAAGTAGAACAGTTACTTGCCAACAGTCTTCTGCAACTGGACCATGGCCGCTCGAATTTATACCATGATAGTGCCAACATTGATAAAGTCAATCTTTTCATTTTGGGCAAAGATGGCCTCGCACAAGAATTGGCAAATGAAATTCGGACACAATCCACTGATGATGAGTATGCGTTAGATGGAAAAATATATGAACTAGATCTTAGGCCAGTTGATGCAAAGTCCCCATACCTGTTGACTCAGCTGTGGACCTCAACCTTTAAACCACACGGTTGTTTCTGTGTGTTTAACTCTATTGAATCACTGAATTTTATTGGGGAGTGCATTGCAAAAATAAGGGCTGAAGCATCTCAGATAAGGAGAGACAAGTATATGGCTAATCTTCCATTTACATTAATACTGGCTAACCAGAGGGACAGTGTTAGCAAAAACCTACCTATTCTGAGACATCAGGGACAGCAGTTGGCCAACAAATTACAGTGTCCTTTTGTAGATGTGCCTGCTGGTACATATCCACGCAAATTTAATGAAACCCAAGTAAAACAAGCTCTGAGGGGAGTGCTGGAAGCAGTTAAACACAATTTTGATGTTGTAAGTCCAGTTCCCACCATTAAAGATCTGTCAGAAGCGGACTTACGAATCGTCATGTGTGCCATGTGTGGTGATCCGTTTAGTGTGGATCTTATTCTTTCACCCTTCCTTGACTCTCACTCTTGTAGTGCTGCTCAAGCTGGCCAAAATAATTCTTTGATGCTTGATAAAATAATAGGTGAAAAGAGACGTCGAATACAAATAACTATATTGTCGTATCATTCTTCAATTGGTGTAAGGAAAGATGAACTTGTTCATGGTTATATACTGGTCTATTCTGCAAAGCGGAAGGCGTCCATGGGAATGCTTCGGGCATTTCTTTCTGAAGTTCAGGATACGATTCCTGTCCAGTTAGTGGCTGTTACTGATAGCCAGGCAGACTTCTTTGAGAATGAAGCAATCAAGGAACTCATGACTGAAGGAGAACACATAGCAACAGAGATTACTGCTAAGTTTACAGCTTTATATTCATTATCTCAATATCATCGTCAAACTGAGGTTTTCACGTTGTTCTTCAGTGATGTGTTAGAGAAGAAAAACATGATTGAAAGTTCTTATATGTCAGACAGCACAAGGGAAACAACGCATACAAGTGAAGATGTTTTTCCAAGATCTCCCAGAGGAAGTTCCCTTGACTATAATTACCCAGACTCAGAGGACGATACTGAAGGACCACCACCTTACAGTCCAATTGGTGATGATGTAAGGTTACTCCCAGCACCTAGTGACCGTTCAAAGTACCGACTGGATTTGGAAGGAAATGAGTATCCTATTCACAGTACACCACTCAACTGTCATGACCATGAACGCAACCATAAAGTGCCTCCTCCAATAAAACCGAAACCACTTGTTCCAAGAACAAATGTGAAAAAACTGGATCCTAACCTCCTGAAAACAATTGAGGCAGGTATTGGCAAAAACCCCAGGAAACAACCTTCTCGAGTTCCTGCAGCACCACCAGAAGATATAGACCAATCTGACAACTATGCTGAACCTATTGACACTATTTTCAAACATAAAGGCTTTGCAGATGAAATCTATGCGGTTCCAGATGATAGTCAGAATCGTATTATTAAAGTTCGAAACTCAATTGTTATAAATACCCAAGGTGAGGAAGAAAATGGGTTTTCTGATAGAATATCCAAAAATCATGGGGAAAGACGGCCTTCAAAATACAAATATAAGTCTAAGACTCTGTTCAGCAAAGCTAAGTCTTACTATAGAAGAACACATTCGGATGCAAGTGATGATGAGGCTTTCACCACTTCTAAAACTAAAAGAAAAGGAAGGCATCGTGGAAGTGAGGAAGACCCACTTCTTTCACCCGTTGAAACATGGAAGGGTGGCATAGATAACCCTGCTATTACATCAGATCAAGAATTGGATGATAAAAAAATGAAAAAGAAAACCCAGAAAGTAAAAGAAGATAAGAAGGTAAGTCAATTGATTTAAATTTTATTTACAACTTCTGGTGCATTGTAAGAAGGGAAGAGTCAAAATATACAAGAGTTGCACTTTGTTTTGAAACAAGTGCTTTAAAATCTTGATGTAGCATTGTTTGATTTTTGTCCAACTTTTTACTTAACTTGCTCAGAACCAGGAAACCTGAGGGAATGAGATGGTTTGTCTACCTAATCAGCTATTCAGTAAGTTTTAGTTCTTCTCACCTCATTATGTACATGTGCAATTTCCCTTCCATATGGGTAAGTGAAGGCAGAATTTGGTCCACAGATCCTTTTTTGTTAATCATAAAATCTTTATTTATTTATTTTTATTAAAAGGTGCTTTATGAGTCCTTGGGTAGAACTGGTTCTTTCAGTCCTTGCAGTTCTGGCTGTTGTAATGAAGTTTGGGGCTGCTGAATGAAAGGGGTGGTTTCTTTTTAATTCTCAGTTGTCTACCTGGAACTTTTAGAACAAGAGCTTGAAAAGAGAACTTTGTATAGTGGTTTTACTGACTGTTGCATTTTCCTAGTGCGGACAAGCAAGTAATCAAGTTGAAAGCTGTGCTACCCATACAATTCTCTATTCAAACAAAATAAAGGGAACAAAATTGCCTGCCCAGTGTGGGTTTCTAAATAATAATGTGACACTCTACTTGAAAAATGTCTGCGTTTTATTTTTATATTTATGCTTGATAGGTACTTATTTTTTGACTTACTGTTTTAAAAAATTTTATATCAAGGTAGTGTTGTGGTGTAGGTTCTGGATGCATACTCTTTATAGCTTAATTTTAGTTTTAGGCTGGCAATCATTGTCTTGCATATAGTTTGTGTTTAAGATTAAATCTGGAGTGTTCCTATTTGGTTAGATATTTTATTTCTTGCTTCAAATAAGTTGACCTTTTTAATACTGTCTTCTGTAGCATTTTAAAAATGTCCCTTTAAGCTTAAATCTTGACAGTACTTGAATAGCATTTAGAAATTAGTTTTGTTCAAGTAGAGCATAGTTAAATTTAACTAATGGATTAAATTCTGTATTGCGCTTCCTAGTATGCAGCTGTGATTTGAATTACACATGACTGATTTAAAGGGCACTAAATTTTCTTAAGGCTTACTCATAAACATAGATAATGATGTCCTGTGGGTATAAAATCTTATGGTTAAAAATACTTTAAAGTTGTTCTTTGAGGAAACTTAAATGTTTTTAAAAAGAAGAATTTATTTACTTTTGATTGAAATAATATTGCTACGTAGAAATTGAATTGTAGTATTCATTATCATCCTACTGTTTAAGCTGTGTTGACAGAATCATGGAATGGTTTAGGTTGGAAGGGACCTTAAAGATGATCTAGTTCCAACCCCCCTGCCATGGGCAGGGAACACCTTTCACTAGACCAAGTTGCTCAAACCCTGTCCAACCTGGCTTGAACACTTCCAGAGAGGGGGCATCCACAGCTTCTTTGGGCAACATGTTCCAGTGCCTCACCACAGAATCATCTAGGTTGGAAAAGAACTTGAAGATCATCCAGTCCAACCATTAACCTAACACTGACAGTTTCCAACTACACCATATCCCTCAGCACTATGTCAGCTTGACTCTTAAACACCTCCAGGGATGTGGACTCCACCACTGTCCTGGTCAGCCCATTCCAACGCCTAACAACCCGTTCTGTAAAGAAATGCCTCCTAATATCCAGTCTAAACCTTCCCTGGTGCAACTTGAGGCCATTCCCTCTTGTCCTATTGCTTGTTACTTGGTTCAAGAGGCTCATCCCCAGCTCTCTGCACCCTCCTTTCAGGGAGCTGTAGAGGGCGATGAGGTCTCCCCTCAGCCTCCTCTTCTCCAGACTAAACACCCCCAGTTCCCCTCAGCTGCTCCTTGTACGACCTGTGCTCCAGACCCTGCAAAGCTTCGTTGCCCTTTTCTGGACACGCTCAAGTCATTCAATGTCCTTTTGTAGTGAGGGGCCTAAAACTGAACACAGGAATCAGGGTGCGGCCTCACCAGTGCCAGTACAGGGGTCAGATCCCTTCCCTGTCCCTGCTGGCCACGCTATTTGTGATGCAAGCCAGGATGCCATTGGCCTTCTTGGCCACCTGGGCACACTGCTGGCTTGTGTTCAGCCAGCTGTCAATCAACACCCCCAGGTCCAGATTGGCGAACCATCCTCACAGTGAAGAGTTTCTTCCTTACATCTAATCTAAATCTACACTCTTTCAGTTTAAAACCATTACCCCTTGTCCTATCCCTACACTCCCCCATAAAGAGTCCCTCCCCGTCTTTCCTGTAGCCCCCTTTAAGTACTGGAAGGCTGCTATAAGGTCTCCCTGGAGCCTTCTCTTCTCCAGGTTGATCAACCCCAACTCTCCCAGCCTGTCCCGACAGGGGAGGTGCTCCAGCCCCCTGATCATCTTCATGGCCTCCTCTGGACCTGCTTGAGCAGGTCCATCTCCTTATGTTGGAGGCCCCCGAGCCAGACACAGTACTGCAGGTGGGGGTCTCATGAGAGCAGAGTAGCAGGGGAGAATCCCCTCCCTCGCCCTGCTGGCCACACTTCTCTTGATGCAGCCCAGAACACGGTTGGCTTTCTGGGCTGCAAATGCACATTGCTGGCTCATAGTTTTCCATCTACCAATACCCCCAAGTCCTTCTCCACAGGGCTGCTCTCAATCCACTCCTTGCCCAGCCTGTATTTGTGCTTGGGATTGCCCTGACCCATGTGCAGGACCTTGTACTTGGCCTTGTTGAACTTCAGGAGGTTTTGCACTGTCCCACCTCTCCAGCCTGTCCAGGTCCCTCTGGATGGCTCATCCCTTCCCTCCAGCGTGTCGACCGCGCCACACAGCTTGGTGTCATCAGCAAACTTGCAGAGGGTGCACTCAGTCCCATTGTCTGTGTCTCCAACAAAGATGTTGAACAAGTTCTGGTCCCAACACTGACCCCTGAGGAATCCCACTTGTCACTGCTCTTCACCTGGATATCGAGCTGTTGACCACAACTTTTTGAGTGTGACCACCCAGCCAATTCTTTATCCATTGAGTGGTCCATCCATCAAACCCATGTCTCCAATTTAGAGACGAGGATGTCACATGGGACAGTGTCAAAAACTTAGCTCAAGTCCAGGTAGCTGACCTCATTTGCTCTCCCCTTGTCTATCAGTGCTATAACCCTGTCATAGAACGTCACCAAATTTGTCAGGTGCAATTTGCCCTTAGTTGGCTGCTGCCAATCGCCTCCTTATTTTACACGTGCCCTAGCATAGTTTCCAAGATGATCCACTCCATGATCTCGCCGGGCACAGAGGTGAGGCTGACTGGTCTGTAGTTCCCAGGGTCGTCTTTTTTTTTGCTTTTAAAAATGGGGGTTATGCTTCCCCTTTTCCAGTCAGCAGGAACTTCTCTGGACTGCCACTCAAGTATGATGTATAGTGGCTTAGCCACTTTGTCCATCAGATCCCTCAGGACCTGCAGATGCCAGGTCCCAGAGTTCCTCCAAGTTGAATATTTGTTTAAGCTGTGTAGACCTAGTATAATGGGGTCTTCTCTTCCTGCCGTTGTGTCAGGAAACCCACTGGTGTCTTTAAAAAAGCCTCCGTTTTGGCTTTGGCCTGTTAGGCAACCTGAGTTGGAAGTTTCAGGGTGTTCTTAATTTTCATAGTAGAGTTGTTTCAGCTTTTGAAAGTTGTTTCAGGAGTTGTTTCAACTTTTCTTTAATGTACTTCTTGCTTTTGTTGGGGTGGTTTTGTTTGGGTTTTTTTACTTGCAAATTGTGGTCCAGGGCTGATACTTTCAAATTAGTCAGAGAAAACTTTTAATAGAAGTACAAATTATTGTAATAATGGAGTAAGCAAATTTAGGTTGATAGCTGAAATGCTTGCAAGAGTTCAGAATATCTAAGCATGTTGAGTGCTTAGTGCTTTTGATAAGTAGTGACTTCTCTGTGTTGACTTGCATTATGCTGAAGTGAGAGTAATTCCAGTTCATGTGACGAGTCATTCTAGTTTGTAATATACTCCTCTGGTTTTTGTGAGTGTTGATTTTCTGCAAGAGCGATGCAGTTTTATTAGTTTTGAACTTACTGTGTTTTCCTGTGTTGTTTTATATGAGCAGCTAGCAATCTTTTAATTACAAAACCTCAAAAAAATATTCAAATAATATTTTCCTTGTTGAGTATTATTTAGTCCATGTGAGGGATGTTAGTGCACTGTTATTTACAGATTATTTGCTGGATTTTTTTTGAGTTTTGACCCCTTGAATGTGGATGGGATAAATAAAACATTTGTATGCCTTTCTGAATATTTCTTAAAGTTCTTACTGGTACTGTTTCTAAATTGTTCAGCTGTATGTAAAGGGGAACATTAGATACATGTGTAACTATTCATGCTATAATTATAGTGATTCTGAAATACAGAAATCTTAGAACAAAATTAATTTGTTTGGAAAAACTCAACCTTTGAAGTCTGAGGTTCTCATTGATTACAGCTTGATCTTAATTTATTTTTTATTTTTTAAATCAGCTTTGTAGTATGCTGTTGCTTTTAAAGACCAAATAGGATGTAACATTCTTAATACTCTTTTCATCTTTCTGTTTGAGGGGTTTGAGATGTGGTGTTTCTGGGTGGATTTCTTCTACGGTATTGCAGACAGCTCCTGTGCACAGTCATTTGTGGTTTTTGGATTTCAGTTTTCAGTTATGCAAAGCAGATTTCAGCTAAAGCCTATTCAGATTTTTACACTAAAATTTTTTTAAAAATTATGTTGGGGGGCATTGGTTTGTTTTGGGTTTTCTGGGTTTGTTTTTTTTTTCCTCCCTGTTTATGACAATTACATTAAAGTTAAACAAAGTTTCTTAAAGTGATACTTGCTTACCCCTTAGAGGTACTGGAAAATGTTTTAAAGGCAGGCACAGAATAAGAAAGCATTTAAAAATAATGTGTTTCAAGAAAAGGACATGACCTTGCTGTGAAGGATGCTCATTCTGTCCTGATGCTTT